ACGTCGTTTCTATAAACAACAGTTTGTAAACCTACGGGAATCGCTCAAGCCAACAAATCACCATAGCTGGAAATAATATTCAAAATAAAAAAAACATAGCTAATTACAAAGTTTTCTTTCTAGCCATTTCCTTTTTCAGACCTTTGGTGGCTCTCACAGAGCCAATTTCTCCTGTAATGCAGAAAAAAACCTTAGACAGGGATTTAAAACCAGGACTAGAACCAGGCAACAGTGCTAACAACAATAGCTATGTTTACATGAACAAAATCCCTTGAATGGATTCAAACATATTCAGAGTAAGATTCTTATCTTCAGGTAACACAGAGTACATGTCAGATTAAATAATACTACTTCAGCGATAGTATCTAGGTGTTACTTTATTGTATGTCTCGTACCATGTCTGTTGGTTGTGCTGTTCTTTTTATATCTCTTTGCAGGTGATGAAGCAGACTGAAAATGTTTTATCATTATCTCCCTTTTATCTCCTATTTCTTTAATCTTTTCTCCGTTTTTCTGTTTTTCCTCTTCTTTTCTACTTACATTGCAGTGTCCATATAATCTGTAAAACTCCATGCATAATTATATTAAAGCAATTGATATGCATAAAACGAGCAGAACTCTATGGCGATAGCCGTACTGCTCCACTTGTGAAAGTAAAATCTGTTGGGTTCTTTTTGGCATCAAGACAATTATTCTTATTGCCACATTGCCAGACAGGACACTGTTAAAAAAAACAACACAAAAGAAAAAAACATATTCAGAGCGAAAAAAATTATGAATCCAGCATTTGTATGGCCACAAAATAATCTAATTAAGACGTGTATTTAAACACACCATGAAAAATTTAGGATATAAGCAGTTCGGCATGTAAAGAGGTATCGGACGTCCCTAAAACAACAAACTACAGAGGAAGAAGCTGGAAGAAGTCTGTGTTGTATAAAAAAGACAACACAGTATCAAAATGTAATTTAGAGAGCCCAGAATGGATCCATGCCAGGTTCTGAGAGGTTTTAAGGTGTTATTGCTTTCCGTAATCAAGCAACAAGAACTCCGACTCAGCAACTCATGCTGTTGGTGTTTTTGCATTACAGGATGAGATGGTGGGATGGAATTAAAATTCCTCCTAGTTTTGCATTGCTGCAAATATTACAGAAAAGACAAAGACTGCAAGAGGATTACTCTTCCCACAGAGCCACAGTAACGCAGTCAAAGGTTCCATTAAACAAAAGACACTTTAAACACGTTTAAAAGTTTTTCATTTAGTTAAAAATATATTCTCAGTTAACCCTACATTTCATGTTTCATGTGGTTTTGACACTATTTTAGATTAATTGACTGTAAGCATGCACCCATTTTAACGAGGTATAAAACATTAAATAATGAGGTCTAAATAATAAGGAAGTCTTTCATGCAGTAACAAAAAGAAACGTTGTTAGCTTCTACTGAACTTGACCAATAATTACATACAGAGCTAAACAAAATAAAACACCAAACATACTTAATAAACTTATTTAAAGTTTTCTTTTTTACCTTTTGCTGTGGAATGATTGTTTTCAAGGAAACTGATGAATGTATTTTTGTACTAGAGGATGTCAGGGCATTTTATGCAGAGACACAAGACTCAATATACTCAATATAGTCTCAATAAAGACTCAATATAGTCTGTGTTAGAGGATAAAAATCAGATCAGCTGTGAAGTCATGAGCTGCTGTGAGCCTGCAGTCCTGGGTTTTTTGACTGGACCTGTACAACTTGCAATCTTTCCATTTCAGTGATCTAGCTGCAGTCAAAGAATAGCCAAAGACCACAAGATACTGCTTTATTAACTATTTGACATTCAGGTCTATTTTTGCTTACTTTTTTTGGTGACTATTTGTAACAGCTCTAGCTGCTTCTTACAGTTGTAACAGTACACTGTGTGCAGAATTATTAGGCAAATGAGTATTTCGACCACATGATCCTTTTCATGCATTTTGTCCTACTCCAAGCTGTATAGACTTGGAGGCCAAGTACCATTTAAGTTAATCATGTGGTGAGCATCTCTGTAATGAGAAGGGGTGTAGCCTAATGACATCAACACCCTATATAAGGTGTGCCTAATTATTAGGCAACTTCCTTTCCTTTGGCAAATGGGTCAAAAAAGAGATCTGACAGACTCTGAAGAGTCAAAAATTGTCCGATGTCTTTCAGAGGGGTGCGGCAGTTGGCAAATAGCCAACAGGGACGCAAGAAGCGTGTTAAAAAAAGAAGACGCAAAGTAACTCCCCATGAATTGAGAAGGATCAAGCGTGAAGCTGCCAGGAAGCAATTAGCCACCAGTTGTGCCATATTTCAGAGCTGCAACATGTCTGGAGTGCCGAGAAGCACAAGGTGCTCAATACTCAGGGACCTGGACAAGGTAAGGAAAGCTGAAAAAAGGCCACCTTTGAACAAGAGACACAAGACAAAACGCAAAGAATGGGCCAGGAAATATCTGAAGGCTGATTTCTCCAAGGTGTTTAGGTCTGATGAAATGAGAGTGAGTCTTGATGGGCCAGATGGATGGGCACCAGGCTGGATCAGTAAAGGGCAGCAAGTTCCTTATCGACTCAGACGCATGCAAGGTGGAGGTGGGGTACTGGTATGGGCTGGTATCATCAAAGATGAGCTTGTGGAACCTTTTCAGGTTAATGAAGGAGTCCAGATCAACTCCCAGACCTACTGCCAATTTCTGGAAGACATCTTCAAACAGTGGTACAAGAAGAATTCGCCATCATTCAAGAAAAACATGATATTCATGCAGGACAATGCTCCATCACACGCATCAAAATACACCACAGCATGGCTGGCCAGAGAAGTCTAAAAGGAGAAAAATAATGATATGGCCCCCCTGTTTACCTGATCTGAACCCCATCGAGGTCAGATCAGGTGAACTGTGGTCCTTCGTGAAATGTGAGATCTACAGGAAGGGAAAATGGTCCACCTCTCTGAACAGTGTCTGGGACGCTGTGGTGGCTGCTGCACACAATGTGGATCGCAAACAGATCAAGACACTGACAGAATCTATGGATGGAAGGCTTTTGAGCGTCATGGTGAAGAAAGGTGGATATATTGGTCACTGATTTGTTTGTTTTTTAGTTTTTGAATGCTGCAAATGTTTATTTCTGAATTTTGAGTTATTATATTGGTTTACCTGGTGAAAATAAACAAGCGAGATGGGAGATTTGGCTTTTATTACATTGCCTAATAATTCTGCACAGTAATTTTTACCTGCACACACAGACCTCCTCATAAAATGGCCAAATCTAAAAAACAAAACAGAAAAAACACATAAACTTCCAAAAATATTAGACTTTGATATTAAGGAGTCTTTTGGGTTGATTGAGGACACAATTGTGGCCCAATAATAAAAATAATCCTCAAAAATCAACCTGCCTAATAATTCTGCACACAGTGTATGCATGCAGTCACTTCAAACTAGAAGTTAAGCATTAACTATTTTGACGCATTCATGCAGAGAAATAAAAAAACATTGTGCAGTTACACTGTTACTTCCCTTAGAAGTTTTTATAACATTATACCCTTTTGGTCATAAGACCTATGAAATTACATTGGACAACAAACACCACAGATCAAGAGAAGGCTGCAGCATTTTTATCTGTGATAGTTAAACCATCTGCAGTAAGGTCCAGTAGCAGTTTGCCAATAGAAGTCCAACTGAAGGATGCAGCACTCTAGTAATTTGATTTATATGACCCTGGATAGCAGAGTCCTGTCCATTCCTCAAATAACTCATCCTAATGCCTCCGGACGGCATCTTTTTGTGTGCTCTTGGTGTTAATTGCCACTTGACGTTTAATAATATATGTCTATACAAGAAACTCAGATCCTGGATTATCTGCAAACTTTCTTTTATTTGAAAGACTTAAATCAAATCGTGTCAGAAAACCTCCAGGCTTTCAATAACTTAAAAGATATTCATACCCTTGAACCCTTTCACATTCTGATACATTACAACCATAAAGTTAGGGGTATGTTGTGTATTTTATGTTATAAGACATCAGCCTACACAATGTTACACAAAACTGCTTAATGGAGAGTAAATTAAATAATGCATTGAATAATGTTTTTATTTAATTAAAAAAAATTTATATTTACCCTGAATACACCATGCCATTGGGACGTATGGTGTTGGTAGAAGGTCAACAAGGCTGTTCAAGTTTAATGCAAAGATGATTTCAGCTAAATATGGGGAGATTGTTCTAGAATCATCAACCTTTTACAGGCTGAGAGCTAATTCGTGGTTACTGAGTCATAGGAAGAGCTACCAATTCTGACCTATAGGCTGGAGAAGTCAGTATTCACCTATACCTCATACATACTTTTTTAATGTTTCTTTTCATTTCTAATTTCCTTTTAGACAATGTCAAAAGGAAATTAGAAATGCAAATGTGATTAAAAAAGAAGAACAACAAAATAATGTTAAATTTCAAACATAGCTGAGTTGTGCTGTTTTCAGAACATGCTGAGCGCACCCCATATGGGGCGACTGCGCTGCTTCCCCAGTTCTTGAAGATGTGGTAAAGGCTGGCAAAGATCTGAAACAGTGATGGCGCATTGCCTTCTAGCAGGACGGCAGCCCTGAGTATGCATCCAGGGCTGCAGTGGAATGGTTAGGATCAGAAGAGCTCTGCATTTTTTAGAAAGATCCAGTCCAAGGTCGGACCTAAATGCAGATGGAGTCACTGCATGTAATCTGAATAATCTTAAAATATTCCACAGATAAAGAAGGGAATTGATTCTGATTCAACTCAAAATATTATTGACTTTTCAGGGTATTTTTCAAGAATGCTGGCAAGAATGTAGTTATCATTTTGAAAACCCAAAATAGTGTTCACTGTATACTGAAGACATCCTGTTGTAAAGAATGGTGTAATCTGCTCCAAAACAGGAACAAAAATGAACTGTGATGTTAACTGATCTGTCTTCTGCCTGCGTGTCTGTGTGTGTGTATCTGCCAGAGACCTGATGAGGATGTGGTAGTGGACCAGGGAGGGACCAGCTCTGTGATGAATGTTCATTACGAGAAAGAGGAGCTAGAAGGTGAGAAAAATACACATTTAGACAATTGTATCAGTTGTATATGTCTGGTTGTCTTTTCAGAACAATTTGCATTGGTTTCTCTTTTTGATCCCTCCAGCATATGATTTTATGACTATAAATAAAGATACATATAAAAGCATGTTCATGCCCATGAAAAAAAATTTTTCCCATGAAGAAAAAGAAAGCCATATTTGAACTTATGTTATTTTTAGTTTCTTAGACTTAAAACATTTTTTTGATACTCAGAGATATATGTAGTTGAGTAATGTCACATTGTTTAGAACAGAAAGCAGGATTTATCATCCTTGTTTCCTATTGAGACTCAGCTGAAAGCACTTGAGCCAAACAATCTGTCACCTCCACCTGTAGCATAGTCTCAATGAGTTTGTTTATTTAGGAATGTTTTTCATGCATGTATATGCATATATGAGGCCTAGGCCGAAGTTCAACTGAAGAAACCAAATTTCTTGCCCTCATCATCAGATGCTCTCTGCCTCTGACGCAAACCAATCATCTTTGAACCATAGCTCCACAAAGCCCTTTCAGCATCCAGAGTTCATCTTAAAAGCTCTTCAAATCCCCGACTCAGCCTGCTACCTAGCCAGCGCAAGCAGTGGTTGTGCTATGTCTGATTTTGACTCAGATGGCTCCGATTCAATCCACCTCAATCCCCTTCTCCACTATTGTAGCTAAACTCCATCTGGATTTTCCATGGTGCTTTTTTAACCTCATCCCTATCAGAGTGTAATCCACCTGGACTTTTACTGCATTCCCCGTCACATCTCAGTCGGTCCAGCAGAAGACTGCCATGTTCAGCCTGGCTCTGCCAGAGGTTTCTTCCTAAAGGGGATTTTTTTTCCTCTCCACTCTCGCTTCATGCTTGCTCATCATGGATAATTTCATGCAAACCTGTGCTTTTCCAAGCTGGACATCTATCTTCCGGGTCCTGAGTGAAGTACTAGAATCAACTTATGCAGTCTACTGGATCTCACCAATGCAGCAGCTCAGCAGATAATCTGGCCAACCGGCAGTCTATGGACTGAGCCAACTTCATCT